CTTCTGGGAAGATACCCAGAAGGGGAATAGCTGGCTGGAATGGGACCTCCAATCCTAGTTTTTCTGAGGAGTCTCTGTACTGATTTCCACAGTGGTTGCACCAGTCTACATGCCTACCAGTAGTGGAGAAGGGTTCCTTTCTCCTCTCATCCCCTCCAGCATCTGTTATGGTTGACTTCTTGATGATAACCACTCTTTCTGGGGTGAGATAGAATCTCAGCATTGCTTTAATTTGTAACTCTTGAGTGACCAGTGATGTTAAACATTGTTTTTGTATGTTCATTTGTTTGGCTCAATTCTTAATTCTCCTATTCTATCATCTTTCTACAAATGTGTATATCTTTGTTATGTATAACATGATTTTTAAAATTTTTTCTAATTAATTTTTAAGGGAAACATGAAAACATAGAATTGTATATATTAATGGAGTACTATATGGTGTTTCAGTACAAGTATACACTGTGTAAAGTTTAAATCAAGTTAAATTTATCTGTCTTCTCAAACATCATTTCTTGGGGGGCCTGCTGGTTAGCTCATTTGTTTAAGTGCCTGCTCATGCAAATGCAGTCAGGCGTAGGATACTGTGGTTCGATCCTTACCTCGACCTGCATTACCAGACCTGCTCTTAAGGCAGCCTGAGCCAGCAGAAAGCTCTACTACTGAGCTACATCCCCAGCCTCTTTCCATTCCTTTCCTTTCCTTTCCTTTCCTTTCCTTTCCTTTCCTTTCCTTTTCATTACTTTTTTTTTAATTTTATTGAGAAACAAATAGCAAGAAGATAGTTTCAAAATTGATTAGTAGGACAGTTTCAATAATTAATATAGTGCATACTGTTGTCTTAGTGGTTATTCATTGTACAAGATGAAGACAAGATATCCTGTCCACAAACACTATTAGAACAAATCTCTATTCATTGAATTAAGAGAATGCAGCTGTATATCTATCCTAACTATTTTGAATATACAGATACAAAATGCACATTCATTTGTATCCCACTTTTTTGTTTAGTTTTGTCAGAAAAGGGTATACCATTGTCATTTAAAATTGTAGATGTGTGAATTCAGCAAAATATTACAATATAGTCCAGTAGTCCAGAATAGTAGTGGGTTTTCCGTAAGACTGGCAATATCAGAAGTTGTTGGCTTGAGCCTTTTACAGCTCAGCATATTAATATGGCTTTCCTTTTTATACTTCGTTTTTATACTTTTCTGTTGGATGGTTATGACCAAGATAAAGCAAGACCTCTATAACAAAAAGTGTAACTTTTGTATGTGATAAGGTTTCATTTCTTTCTTTTCCACTTCTTTTTCAAAATGTATTTAGTACAGGATCTACAGAGTCTCACTATGCAGATCAGATGCTTCTCAGCATGCCCCAGGGGCAGGGCCAGCACCACAAGTCGGGAATGGAACCCCAGTCCCTGTGTCTGCCTGCTTAAGCAGGCACTTTAATCCGCTGAGCTATCTGGCTGCCCCTCTTTCCTTTCTTTTCTTTTTTCTTTCTTTCTTTTCATTCTCTCTTCTCTCTCTCTCTCTCTCTCTCTCTCTCTCTCTCTCTCTCTCTCTCTCTCCTTTTTCTTTTTCTATATTGTGTATTAAACTCAAGAGGACTTTATCATGCATGGAGTTACATCCAATCCTTTCCATTTATGTGGAGACAGGGTCTTGCTATGTTATGTTGTCTGACCTTGAACACGTCATCCTGTGTTTCAGCACATACAGCCAACCTGCCTTGGAAGATCTCAAAAGATGATAGACGATTAGATAGATAGATAGAAGAATAACTCAATTGAGCAAATTTGTATATAT